TCTTGGTTGGAGGCCTGAGCCCTTCCTTTTTAAATAGCGGAAGGTTAAATCATCTCGCTCATAACCCGTCGTGTAAAGGTGCTAAATTTCCTCCTTTGGAGATATGTCTATTAGGATGGGATCCCCTTTATAAATAGGATTTTCATCCTCCTTAATCGTCACTCTTCAATCGGTCAAGAACTTAAGATTAGGTGTTCCTAGATTAAACAGACAACTTTGAAAGTAATGGGTTCTCCTGTGCGGTAGGAAAGAGGTCCATTGCAGATAGGAAGGCGCCTGCAAGTACTACCTGGGACTTCTCCCTTGTCCCAAAGGGATATCTCTGGGACATCCTTCGGATATACTTGTGCTGCAAGAAAGAGACATCATTGGGATGTCTTTACGCCCAGACATTTTGGTAACCCTGAGATGTCCCCACAAGTAATGTTCGGGACTTGTCCCAAGGGGATATCTCTGGGATATCTTCGGGATATAAAATACCTATGCGATTATACCTGTGCTGTGTGGGATATATGATGCACGTTTCTTCAATGTGCGGCTGAACGTTTGAAACATATTTTACCTTGATACATGCTTCACCAGTGTGCGGTCGGCCTTAGAAGCAGAGTTCAATAGCATCCAGAGGCATAGAGATGAATTCCCGAGAGTGGAGTGTGTTCGAAAGGAACAAGGCTTGTCCCTAGGGGTGCCAGCCCGCTTCAACCACCTTCACACCCCACCATGAGATTGTTGCAAGTTGGAATTAGGGGGTGCTGCCTGCCTGAAACCTCCAATACCTCCTTAGCCTCCAAACGACTTTACCAACCCACAGGGTCACCCAAAGGGGGGAGGGGGGGCATCGGGGACAATCAGTCCCGGGCCTCGCGTATCAAAGGGCCCCAAGGGGCCTCCGGTTTAGTTTTGCCCCGGGCCTCTGGAAACCTCGGGGTGGCCCCACTAACCCATGAATAATTTTTCCATACACTGTTTTCGGATTTAATTCGTACTCCCCTTGGGTAGTGGAGAATGATGAAAGCACTACTTCCAGAGGATCTGCTTCATCAAACGACAGTGATTCAAAAGGTCACCATTGTGGATGGTGTCATCACCTGGAATTGATGGGAGTACTCCTACCGGTGGATACGAATTCAATCCGAAGAATGCATTGAAAAGACGGTAAAAAAAAAATAATAAAACCGAATGGTCCCCATTTCATTGCTGTTGATTGAACTTGATTTTGAAATGTCATCGTCAACCATGCCTCAAAATTCAACCTGCTGTCAATGTTGGCAACGCTGTTGTGACGACTGGGAATCGTCAGTAGTCTATCCATGATTCTAATGCCAAACTCAGTGATCGAAATGAGGCGGGATGATATTCGCCAAGACTGATATTTAACCTCAGCCATCCTGCGAAAATAAACCATGGGGAAAGGGGCTGGATAACATCCCGCGATGCCTCCCCATCACCCATTCTAGGACGTTAAGGATAGAAGGGGAGGTATTCCCAGCCATCCCTACGAGAAAAGAAAAAAAAATTGCGAGTGCTTTGAGCCATATCTGAACGCCGTATCTTCGGGAGATATGTTCGACAGTTATCTGCCGACACCTATATTTTACAGTGATTTTTCCCCTCTTCCCCGAAAGGGAACAAGCATTGTGCAACAAGCATTATGTGGCTCTCGACCGTACATATGTCTTTATGCAAGCTGCAGAGGCAGTTCGCAGTGAGATAGAACTACGTGTAGATCACGATGCGTCAACTAAGACGCATCAGGCAAGCTGTTTTTATTGTCAAAGACAGCGCTTTCCAGTCATGTAAAAAAGGGAAGTAGAATCGAAGAATTTGTCTACTTACAAGAATACTGCTTGAGCTTTGTCAAGTTTCTCTTTTTGTAAGTCAACGTGAGAATGAAACATATAATAAACAAAGTCAATTCATTTTTGAGGAAAGGGACAAATGGTGTTGATTGATGGGAAGCAGGCAACGAAGGTGCAACACTTGAATTGGACCCTAGACCTATGGGTACCTTTCAGCCAATATTATAAAATACTGCCTTCAAAGTTACTTGCACTAATTTCAGAAGCTTACAAATTTACTCGATAGTCTAAAGGGGGCTCATGGTGTTCCCCTCTATTTCGAAAAGGGTCCACAGGGAAAAAAAGAGGTTGAGAACCGCTGCCCTTAGTTCGTTTTAAAGCGTACCCGTTCAACTCAACTAGACAACTTCCCCACTACTCGCTTCCCTGCAATATCTCGGACGAAATTTTTGAGAGGCGTATCATTCTTGCGGCAATGCATGATATAGAAACAGGCGAAAACCAAGAGGGGCTACACAAAATGGTGGCTCACAAAATGGCGAGACCAACACAGCACAGGTATATCCCAAAGATATTCCCTTGGAACAAGTGAGAAGTCCTAGGTAGTACTTGCGGGTGTCTTCCTTTCTGCAATAGACTGGTTTCCTGCCACGTAGGACAACCCATTACTTTCGTAAGTGTCGCTATTTGATCTAGGAATCTCTAACCTTAAATTACCAATCAAGAGAAAGTAAAATTCTGCTCCTGAGAGATCCCAATATAGGAGGCGTATCTCCAAGGGAAAAAATTAAGCACTGCCACTCAAGAAATCATAGACGAGATTTTCATCCTCTACGTCCATTAAAATTTATAGGTTCAGGTCTCCAACCAAGATAGTTGTATCCAGACATGCCGATCAGACATCATTAATGAAAATATAACGGAATAAATTGAAATTCGGACTGCAATTTTTTCGCCTTCCCTAGTGGCAGTTTTCCTGATGTACAGTACGAAAATCTTCACTTATCCTCAGGATGAATCAAGTAGATACATTTGATAGAAAAGGTCTGGGGCCCATTCCACAGAAGATTTACAAGCTACAAGTTTCTTGTAGAATCAAGTTTCTGTTCCACAAAAGAAAATCGTACAAGGAAGATTTACAAATACAAGTTTCATCCATTTACAAGCGAATTGAGTTTGGGAAAATGGATTCTGTTCCACAGAGCCAGACGTTTTACAAGTACAAGTCTATAGACTTGTACTTGTAGCTCTATTTTCTATGAGACTTTCATGCTTGGTAAATGTATTTTCTGCACTCCTGTGTCTAGCAGAAATGATGATTTTCCTGTTGTGACCATTGCATAGGACAATATAGGCATAGTTCTAATGTGGTACAATACAGTAGAGTTGGGCTTATGTGATTACGTCACAAAAAACTTGAAAGAATAAAATCCAGCGCCGCAGGAAATGAAATACCTGACTACATGTATTGCCAGCTAAAGAATGATCACAGCAACTTTTCTTGGCGCCCTCTATGATAGAATTAACCTTGAATGTAAGTGTGGACTCTGTCTGGTGTACAACCAATGGACTCGAACAGCTTCCCCACTTTGTTGGGCATATTCGATGCACCCTATCTGGAATACGTAGACTCTGACCTTAAGGCCAAGAGATGGCATATTCGATTCTGCATATCCAGCTCCTCGTTATATGAGATATCCATACGCTTTCATCGATGAAACCTCTTTTAGTGTCATTCCACGAGTGCTACTCGATAGAGAACTCTGGAATGCACTTGGAACTTGTAATATGAGCTGGCTCCAGTGCCTTGTACTTCACGATTTACAAGTACTAGCGCAAACTCTGTGGAACAGAAAGTACAAATACTTGTAAATACAGCCACACCGCTTGTAATTTGTAACTTGTAGCTTGTAAATCTTCTGTGGAATAGGCCCCTGAAGTTGCATATCAGGGCTCACGGGAGACATCTACCGTCGCAGGTATGCACCTGACTGAAGGAGACAAAGAACACTGAAGATCCCTAAAGGCATCCCTAAGATGTCCCGAAGACATTCTCCTCAAGATATCCAGAAGCATTCGACTGGAGATGTCTTCAAGATATCCCCTTCAGGATATCCGGAAGCATTTGACTAAGGATGTCTTGAAGATATCCCGAAAGGGACATCTCTCTAAGGTATCGACTAAAGATATCTAAAAGACGTCTCTAAGATGTCCCGAAGACATTCCTTACAGATGTCCGAAGCTGTCAGAAAGAAGATGTCTTCAGAATATCCTATGAAGACCACGGGACAAGTCGTCCAGTTGGGGAGTTCCCTGGGATGTCACAGGGCTGTGTGGGGAGGCTCCCCTCTAATCGCCTAGTCTCAGAACCCCACGCCGAATCAAACATTGAAAAAAAAAACACCTCGAATTGTGTGCTCCTCGCTTTTTATCATTTTTGGTGCAAGGACGTGAATAAATTGTCACTATTTCCAATTTATTTGGTGTCTCTGAATCCTCTTATATGAAGGAAACCGAAACTGATGAGAAAAGCGTCAGAATCCGGGAAGTGTCTACTTCAATAGATATCAGGGGTCCGGGGTCAATCAGCACCCCACACAGCATGGTGACATCCCAGGGATGTCCCCAACTAGATGACTTGTCCTAAGGTCTTTATTGGATCCTAAGGACATCTTCAGTCGGACGGTTTCCGAAACCTTGAAAGTGATGTCCTGAAATGATGAAAGTCCTTCGGGACACCTAAGCCCTTTTGGTACCACGGGAACTATACTGTATATCGTCGATCAAGCCTATGGATCGGCCGCATGGCACTAAAAGGGTTAGAGATGTCTTTTAGATAACTTCAGTCGAATTTTTTTATATTGATTTCCCGAAAGGGAAATCTTAAATACATCCTTAGGCCGGCCGCACAATGGTGAAACATTTTCGTGAAGCATGTATCATACATGTATGATACACACTTTGGATGGAACACATTGCAAACGGTTGAGTGCCGCACACTGGTGAAGCATGCCTCAATCCGTCAGAAGCAAGTATGATACATGCTTTTTAGGATAGCGCTTGCTCTATCTTTGTATATGCTTCAACGTTGTTTCAGTTGAACTCGCAAGTTTGCCAAGGGAAGATCATTCCAACGTCAAGATGAAGAAGGAAGAAGTCCAGAAAAATATAAAATTAGTGCTGTGCATTGAACAATATCCAATGATCTACGATCCTACTAATCGGGCCCATGCTAACCGGGACAAAGTGGATTTGGCTTGGCTTGCTGTGAGCAAAGAGGTAAAAGAACCAGGTGAGAATTATTGATTTGTAAGCTCAAGCTTTATTTTGGAATTTGCCCCCCCCCCCCCAAATTTGTAGGCTGAAAGCGTACTCTTGCGTATTGCCAATCAAGTTCACCGTGTGGCTTCAGGAAATATTGGCACAGTCCGTCACAGACGGCCACAGCAGACGGGCTAGGTCTAGAACTAGATTTCCTAATCTGGCCAATCAGATTATCTTGAAGCTGGAAGGTTTCATCTTCGCAATTCTCAAGATTTGTGGGTGGGTTAGCAGTTGTCATAACTCCCTCACGCAATCGTACAAAGTTGTGCAAAACACAACAAGCAGCAACAATTGCTTGGATTTTTTCCCACTTGGGTGCATCCGATGGTAGTATTCAAAACACCCCACTTCGAGTAAAGCATGCCAAAAGCACATTCCACACTGCCCCTTCCACGCGATAGTCTGTAGTTGAAGACGCGTTTTTCTTCATCCAGCTGCCTCCGGGGGTAAGGGCGCATCAGGTGGGTGGTCATAGGAAATGCTTCGTCCCCCAGGAAAAAGAAAGGGAACAGCTCTCTTTCGTGGGGAAGAGGTTCATCTTTGGTGTTCCAAGAGTGCCAGAGCTCACAGCCTTTCCAAAAGAGCAGCCTTTAAATACTCCACCGTCACTATTTCGCCCATAGTCACCTATGTCAACGGTTATGAAACGGTTATGAAACGGTTATGATGGCGTCTGCAACCGCCATCAAGACGATCGAATGATAGCCCTTGTAGTTGAAAAAAGCAGAGCCAGCTCTTGGAGGCTTCTTAATCTGAACATGTCTCCCATCGATTGCTCCAAGGGTGTTGGGAATGTTCCAAAGTTAAAAAAACCTGTCAGTGACAGCCCTCCATCTCTCCAAAGTCTGGACCGGCATGTACAGAGGCTGAAGCGTGGTTCATAGGACGTGACACGTTTCAGAGACAATGTTTATCGTTGTTTCACCCATCCTGAACTCGAATGACATTGCTCGAAAAGAACTTCCCATCGCGAGATACCCGATGGAAATTATAATGCGTAAATGGGTGAAACCCTGAATACATGAAAAATAGGACACTGAAAAGTATATTATTGCATTTTCAGTTGAGGAATGTATAAAGACCTGGAGAACCCTTCGCCTGGGCCTAAGTAGACACATCCGAAACGTTCCTCCCAATGGTTCTGGCAGATCTGCTGTCAAAAGATACTATCTCGACGAGTACATGTCTTTCATTCTACCATTCATGAAAAGTAGGAAACAGCAAGGGAATTTGGGACAGCAGATGAATTTCACAACTTCGATCGTCTCTGATGAAGAAGGTGATAACACCGCCGAAATCTCTACGTCTCCACTGGAAGAAGTAAAAGAAACAGAAGAGGAAATTGACGGCAATGTTGGAAGCGCTCCGATAGCGAAGAAATCGAAGCACCAACAGGAATCAACCAAAACAGAAACCAACAGACAACAGAAATCAATTAGAAAGAATTCTCAAGATATCGACAAATTTGTGATGACCTACTTCGAGAAAAAGAAGGAAGGGATGGAAAACGGAACGAGAGTCCTGATCCTGACATGAATTTCCTCCTCAACTTGTATAATGATTTGAAGGGTCTTGATTCACGGCGGAAAATGAAGGTGAAATGCAAGTTCATGGAGATTCTTGAAGAGATCATGTTCGAAGATCCGTATCTAATTCGCCCCCTATCAAACTATTCCTCATCATACTCGTCAAACCCCTCACCGACAGCAGAAGCCAATCCAAACTGGCTCTACCCATCTTACCAATTCCCTAGTGGAAGTCATGTCACCAGTGGAAGCCAAGCCAGTGGAAGTCATGGACCAAGTTGGTTGCCTGAGAATTCCAATCCTTTCTAATGAAACCCCAGCTGACGCATTCGATGGAAAATTTAAGAACAATTAAGTCTGTTCCTTATATTACCTAATGGAGAGGGTGTGCATCTGATGAATCACTTCAGAGTTGAAGACAAATTTATTCTGGAGAAAAGTCGATAAGAATTGCAATAAATTCTCCTTTTGTTCCTCATCTAGGTGTCACTATTAGTCACTCATCAGGACGAATGTATTTGCGACAGTTGGTGTCTCTCTTGTCTATAGCAGGGGAGACTAGCTCCAAGATGGCTTCGAAACTTGCCTCTGACATTCTCACATATGAGGTGAATCGTCCCGGATCCTTTCTTAGTTCTTGGAACAACCGATGGAAGGAACCGTATGCATGCCGCCGTGCATTTATGGGGTGTATCAAATGACAGCATTGCCATTGACGTTTCCTTTTCTTGGTCCACCACCAAAGTAATATAACGTCCTCCTCACCCAACGTCATCTTGTCGACTAGCAGGAATTTGACGGTTGCGGTTTTATACTTACGGTTAAAACATGTATGATACACGTTTCTACGGTGTGCGGCTAAATTTTTTAAACATGTATCATACACGTTTGACACACGTTTCACCTTGACACATGCTTCACCAGTGTGCGGCCGGCCTTAGTCGAATGGTTCTGGATATCCCGTAGGAGATGTCTTGAAGATAACTTCAGTCCAGCGTTTTTCTACATGTAGAGGAGAATGTCTTCGGGACATCTAAGGGATGTCTTTAAGGTACTCTCGTCGTCTAAGTCGTCTTCATCAATTCAGTCAGGTGCATAACTTTGACGGTATGTCAAACAATGGATTTTCCTCCACCTTTACCATTGTTCTCCAATCGGTCAAGAATTTAAGACTGGGGAGTCCTAAAAGATTAAGTAGAGAAATCTTAGAAAATAAAGGGTTGTTCTGTATGGAAGGTCTGTTTCAGAAGGAAAGGCACCCAAATATTTAGATATCGCTGAGACTTCCGCAGGGTCTAACTGGCCCATCGGGAAATTTCCCGGGGGGGCCCCCTCCAGACTTGATTTTAAAAAATTATAAATGCGCGTTTACTACTATATAATTTGCTATGAATAATTACAATACAGGGTAAGGGGAAAAAAAGACCAACGACTTTGAACCCAAATATCTCCCCTCACAATGGAGCTATTTTCGCGAAACTTTCACCTTGCAAATATGAGTATGTTTCCAAAACGATACCTAAAATTTCACCCAAATATTTTGTGCCAAAGCAATTCCATCAGTAATTACGGAAAAGAAGTTAGACATCGAGAGAAGTTAAACATCGAGAATGGACAAGAGCTCTTGCAGGTAGTGGAGTGGAGGACACACTCGAGCGCTGTCCCTCCTGGTTCTCGAGACCACGTCGAGCTCCTCTTCCATTTAAATTCACTCATGATGGGATGATTGTCTCTTGCGGATGGTTTTCATGAGCATATTCCCAATAAATATTAGATGAATCAATGAATATCAACCCAGAGAGTCTTCTCAAAGTTCATTCGGAATTTGCTTATTTTTATTTATTAATAAGGAACTGTCCATTTAAAACTCCAGCCTTATCATAGATATGATATCGTTTGTAACTTTGATCTAAATTAATGAATTTTTGCAGCCTCGTTCACTTTCAAATAGGTGAAACCGTGCTACATCCTCAGCAAATGTGGCGACAATATTCACTCAAAGTTGTTTATCTTTTCTGTCATACCCTGCACTCACTGACAAAACACGAGAAATTCTAAGATAACGTTGAGAAAACTCCCTGGATTGATATTCATTTATTCAACTTCTATTCATTGGGTGTAAGCTCATGTAAACCATCTGCAAGTCAATCAGCCTCATGAATTAATTTAAATGAAAGTGAAATTCGACGTCGTCTTGATAAGGGGACGGCAGGAGGGACGGCGCTTGAGTGTTTCTTCCAGTCCATTAGTACTGTAGCAGGAAGTCTTGTCCATTCTCAACGTCTAACTTCTTTTCAATAATAATTACCGATAATATTGCTTCGGCTAAACAAATTCGAATGAAAATTTTCGAATCAGTTGCAAACATACTCATATTTGCAAAATGAACATTTCACGAAAATAGTTCCAGTATTAACTGAGATATTTAGGTCAAAAATCGTTGGTCATTTTTTTGCCATACCCTGTGGCCCTTTGTTAGCAATTTCCCGGCGAGCTCCTAGGCCGCCAGTCCGACCCTGGATCTATCTGGAACTTCTCACTTGTCCCAAGGGGATATCCCTGAGACATCTCTGGGATATGCTTGTTCTGCAAGACAGCCCAGTTTGAAATCCCAACTGGAATATTCCAGCTGGACCAAATCTGTAAATTCGGACCATTTCCAGCTGCCAAAGAGCTGGAAAATAGTGGGTACCAGTTGTTTCTTAGCTGGAATTTTCCAACTGGAATGCAGCTGGTTTTAATAGCTGTTTCCAGCTGGAAATTTCCCAGTTGGAATATTATAAAGAGCTGCTACAGCTCTACAGCTGGAATGTAGCTAAATTTACAGTTGAAAATGAGCTGTTCCTGCAGATGGATCTCTGACAAAAATATTTAAAAAAAAGATTCTCATTCAGCTAGTGATATAGCAATTAGGAACAAATTTGGAGAAGTCTACTTTCCAGCTGTTACCCAGTTGGAATGGATCCGAATTTACAGCTGGAGTCCAGCTGGAAATTATAGCTGTTTCCAGCCGGGATTTTAAACTGGGAGAACGCCCAGACATTATGATATCCCTAAGATATCCCTTGTATAGACTACCTGGTCCAACTTTGGCACACTTTTAATCCTCAAAGGAGTTGTTAAATGTCATCCATCTTCCTCTCCCCTGAGGGGAGAGGGTGATTTCTCTTTGACCCTTCTGCCAGACACTGGCGCGACGCTTCTGAGGGGTGGGGGGCATCACATATGTATGGTTTTAGAAATCTTGATAAGGTGCCTGACGAGTGCCAGGAACACCTAGGTCCGCCACTGATAGCCTCGAGCCCCATTCCAACATTTTGACAGGCTGATGACAGCACAATATTAATGAGCTATCATAAAACAGGCAATGCTGGCGTGGCAAAGTTTGACCGGATAGACTATAGTTGTCTCATGGGACTGCTCACTAGTCCCAAGTACGCAATGCGATCGGAGATCACCTAGCGGGGAAATGAGTAAGTATCAGCACAATTTGCATGACAGCCGATACTGTGATGGCTGTCTCCAGTCTGCCACTCCGTTCAATTTCTTGCTTTTGATGCCTTTATGATTTAGCATGGTGATTGCTATTGGCTTCGAAGGTAGTGCTAACAAACTGGGAATAGGAATTGTGCGGGATGGAGAAGTCCTTGCGAATCCTAGGAGGACCTTCGTCACTCCGCCAGGGCAAGGTGATTGGTGGTAGGCTAAGCCTAACGTTAGGCCAATTTCAATTCCTTTTTTTTTTTAATAGACTAGGCTGAAAGTAGTAAGATAATTGTTGTGCATATGTAAAAGGGCAGCAGCACTAATTGCTTGTTGCATCTGAATGAAAGGATGAGCTTAATTATTTCAAGCACAGGGACTTGACGGCAAAAGGCCATTCCCCATTTAAATCAATGAGTGAATAAATACCCTTTGCTTAATGTTAATACAGAAGAAAAGTGCAACACTTCAATGGATCAAGTGCACAATTGGACCAGTACAATAGATCTAGAGCATTTAAAGAGATGAGAGAAGGAAGAGAAATTGAGCAACCAATGGGATGAAATGGTGAAATATGTAATAGACATCAATATTGACACAGAAAGGTCTTATTTAAGACCTCAGAGAACCTGAAGGTTCACCTTGGTCTACTCTAGTTGAAGGAGTAACTTATAAACAAGTGTGCTGCTTGGATATTCAAGAGAAACTAATTCAATTTTTGATTGCTCAGATGGTAATTTTTAAATTTGAGTTGGCAAGGAATTGTAGAATGTATTTTAGCTGCAGCTGCAAGAGATCTCTGGTTATAATTAGTATTTGCTTGTATTGATCCTGTGTTCACACAACTTTAATACCTTATTCCATAATAATGATAGTCACAGACTAATTTGTATTTTGTGTTACCCTCATCAACCCTGTGCATGCATCATAGCATGGAACATAGTCGATTTTCCAAACTCTTTGGTGGCAGAAGAATGAGGGAAAACCAGTTCAAGTTGTGTAAACCACAAGTGAGACTTGTGTTGCAGAATTACTTCTTTGCTATCAGGGTAATAAATACATGAAATAGGTTAAGTAACAATGTAGTGGTTGCCCCTACCATGGTAAGCTTTAAGAAGAGGTGAGATGCCTTCATGGATGATACAAGAAATGGGAGCAATGTAGTTGCAAGTGCCTTGGCAATAGGTGGACAATGTCCTGCAAAAATCTATATCTTTAAGAAGGGTAAGCCTATCACATTTCACCCACAGGGTGGGCCATAGATATTCATACCACAAGAAACTTTTTTTTTGTGTATTCATGCCCAAGAAAAGGAAAGAAAAAACTTTGTGGCATCTATATACCAGCCTTTCTTTGGTGGACAATCTTGGGTGTTCCAATAGGACTCCTTCTCTGAGGCACAAAGAATGGCATGCAAAAACTTGTCTAGCAGATTATGTAGTAAAAATAATTATAAAAAAAAACATGAATGGCCCCCTAATTTTATGACTAATCAATTGATTATTATGATAGGAAACACAAGACTTTGATTTGGTATGAATATTTATGGCCCACCCTGTAGGTCAATGTGTTCCCCCTCCAAGGATAAAATTAATGGTGTTATGGAGCATGTTATTTTGTTGATACAATTCAGTATCTCTTAGAATGGCCAACTCTTTATGATTACATTCACCCTTGTCACCATTGAAGTCACTTTCAAAGCTGAATATTTTGTTCCTTACAATTCCTCCCATCTATTACAATACCAGTCAGTGCTGCTTTGGAGTACTTATTAGGTGCCAGCTGGGAGAGTTTCACCAACAAGGGAAGCTGCATTCCTTATGCCAGCTTTGAGAAGAAACTATGAGTATAGTACAAAAAAGTAACTCACAGGAGAATATCAGTTATTATTTTTCTATGCTTGCATGAACACAATAAAGAACTTTGTGTACCAGAGATGCAGGTTTGCAGCATTTCTCAAGATAATTATACTCAGGAAGAGACAGTTTTTGAATTGGCCTTAATGAAATGTGAAAAGAATTTTCTCAAGGTCAAAATTGGAATTCCCAAGAATTGCTGCCTTTCCACATCCTCATAAGTTATTGAGTTTGATCAAATAGACTCTAATGTTTCTTGCTGATTCATGTTGATTTATTCAGAGCCATTTGGTCACTATAGAAAGTTCCTCTGCCTATGCAAGGATATTCTTGACCAATGGACCCTCATCAAATTTTCATTCCAAGAAGGATATAGTAATTCTGAGTTGAATTCATTTTTATTGCAGGCTTTCTGCCCAAAGATACAGCTGCACACCATCGACGGCATATCCTTGATCTTTTGAGGGAGGCTCTGAACGAGGCACAGGTCAGCCCAGAAGATTTTTTCACACTTGTTGTTTCCCACTGCTTTATTTGAAATTATTCTTAGTTAACTTTGTAGCTTACTGTGGTTTTTCCTGCCAGGTGCAACCACAAGATGTTGATGTGGTTTGTTTCACAAAGGGTCCTGGGATGGGAGCTCCATTGGCATCAGTAGCAATTGTTGCAAGAACTGTTGCTCAGTTATGGGACAAACCTCTCCTTGGTGTCAATCATTGCATTGGCCGTATCCTTTACTTCTTTATGCAACAATGATTTATTGTGACATGGTGTTTACCCATATTACAGTAGCTTTGCAATTACTCCTTACATTTGATCCAAGGCCAACCCAGCAGGATAATCATCTAAAGCTAGTTTCTTTAACAATGCATTTCCAGATATAGAAATGGCAAGACTAGTAACAGGAGCAAGAGATCCTACTGTGCTCTATGTGAGTGGTGGTAATACCCAAATCATAGCCTACTTGAGTGGCAGATACAGAATATTTGGAGAAACCATTGATATAGCTGTTGGCAACTGCTTGGACAGATTTGCCAGGGTTTTGAAACTCTCCAATGATCCAAGTCCTGGATTCAACATAGAGCAACTTGCTAAAAGGTGCAAGGACATTAATAATTTTTTTAACATTTTCTTTTCCCTCTGTGGGTATTCCTTGATTATTTTCAGGGAGCCAGACAATATTAAGCTCCTCATGCCTTCAATTGAATAATTCCCACAATATTCATCAGTATACCTTGCAATTTATTGGTGCACTTATTCTTTGTATTTATTGTACATCTCTTTATCTCTATCATTAGAGGGAAGAAATTCCTTCCTCTTCCCTATGCAATCAAGGGAATGGATGTGAGTTTCTCAGGTCTGCTGACTTATATTGAAGAGAAGGCTCCCCTACTGGTCCAGTCTGGAGATTACACACCTGAAGATCTTTGCTTCTCTCTTCAAGAAACTGTCTTCTCCATGCTAGTTGAGACTACAGGTGTCAAGGAATTGAGTTTAATTAATAGGATCATGTTCTTGACATAAGTTTAGCCCAGGTTTTTGTTTGAGTGCATGAGCTTATGGCCATTGCACATACAGGGTGATTATAAAGTCCTGTGGTGTGTTTACAGTGTCATAGTGACCAAAGTAGATGGAGTTGGATCACCAAACTTGCAGGGTGCACATATAATGGCATAAGAAAGCCATTTGCATAATAAAAGTTGAGATGGCATCACTGTCATCCCAGGTGGCAGCACCATTGCCCATTACATAATATTAAGCCAGGTTGTATATTCTGGACACATTACAAAGAGAGCAGGAAAATTATGACACCCCCCCAGCAAAAGGCTAGCTTTGTCAAGCATTATTATCTTAACTGATACAAATCCAAGCAAGCTCTTTGTGCATATCGGACCAAGACGGGTGCACTTCTTGGGCCCTGTACAATCCAGTGATCCAAGGGATGGTTCTGCCATCTGGGATGATAGTAGCTCCGTCTAGACTTTTATGATGCTGATGGCCTTCCCATGTTTTTATCTGTGCCCCTTGCAAATTTATTAATCCCAACTCCATCTACTTTGGTCAATACAACACTGTAAACACCCCACTGAACTTTGTAATGACCCTCTTTTTAAGGTTTAACCTTGGCTAAACTGAGAGGAGAATGTGATCTTTGAGTCTTATTTTTTTATGCTTTTAAATATTCTTGATTGAAAGATATAGTATGTTGGTAAATGACTAATTCACATGATTCCCTTCAATACTTGTCATAGTTCTTTGTATTTATAATTTTAAAATTATTTTATATTTTTTCTTTTTTCCAGAGAGGGCAATGGCACACTGTGGATCTCAAGAAGTTCTCATCTGTGGAGGTGTTGGCTGTAATGAGAGGCTGCAAGAAATGATGAGGGTGATGTGTGAAGAGCGAGGTTCTCGGCTTTTTGCTACAGATGAAAGCTTCTGCATTGACAATGGAGCAATGATTGCTCATGCAGGCTGGGAAATGTTCTGTGCTGGCATCCAAATGTCATGGGACTCAATGACAATCACTCAGAGGTGCCAGTTCTGGTATATTTTGTGGTTGAGTTTCTCACATTCAAAAAATTTTGAATAAGAAGACTTTTTCAATTCTAGGTATCGAACTGATGAGGTGAAAGTCACATGGAGAAGTGACTAAGTTCCCTCGCATATATGCTTTTTTCATTCAAGACTCAAAAGACAAATTAGGAGAGAACTGTCTTTGTGATGAATATATGCAATGAAAACAGTGAAATGCTTGTCCTACATTGAAAAACAATTGCACTCACCAGCAAGGAAGAAAATGACAATATTGTTACGGTTCCGTGCGTTCTCTTGCACTGGTGGTGGGAATCACAACAAAATAGGTCAGGGCTGATACAAAGCAGGTTTTATTGGAAAATGACAGATTGGAAAATGGAAGATCCTGGCAGATTACGAAAGGGATAAAGGGATGAAAAAAAGGGAGAACCTCACTCCTCAGACGGGTGCGATCTAGTAGTACATGCCATCATTCCTTGGCGCCCAGATGCCGAATTACTTTATTACAATGAGAGTATAACTATGCCTATAGTCTGTAAGTGTCAGACGGAAATGAAAAGAGGGGTGGCTGAGAGCCAAAGTCATAAAGAAGGTTATTAAAACAGATCTCTCGATTGGGGTTAAGGGTCAGAGGTCAGGCGTGACACCTAGGAGGTCATGCACACACTGTGGTCTTCCTGAGCGACTCGTAGAGAGTTCTTCCCTCGCATACCGGCAGTCCTGCTAGGCCACTCACTGGGTGTCATGCCGGCTGGGCCGTTACAATATATATAAAGGGAAACATTCAGAAATCACAAAAAAAATGGTACAAGAATAAAAAGCGGAAACTGTCGTATTCAAGGGGATGCACAAAATAATAACATCTGTTTTTTTCTTTATTATATAAAGACCATACCATTATTCATATGTAGCCAACATAAGCTTAAAAGAGCACTGTTTTTTAAGCTTTTTTTTTTTTTAACCAGATTCCAACAGACTTGAGTGGTGCCAGCCAAGTAATGCCAGGCCTGAATGGCAATCAGGTATTTTAGTGTTTGCATGGCTTGAAATAAATGAATGCCTGTTGAAGAGCACTGCAAGGGGGTTCTTTGAGTTAAACCAACTCTTTCCTAGAACACTATCCAACATTTGCATTTGGAATCTACTAATGAGGGGGCTGTTTGAGCCTAAACAATAACAGCCTAAGATAGTGTGAAATGCTGAAAGCAACAGACTTGATCTTACATTGTCCATTCTCCAGTTTCAAATGCAAGTGCAGGATAATGTTCTGTGCTGCAACCCAGTCAAGAGAGTTAGTGATATCAAGAGGCGATTTCGCCCATTTCGATATCACGTGTCGAGGTCGAGCGTTCCTTAATTTTAGGGTAGGCCTAACCCTCTTAAAGCTAAATATTTTTGTTTTTTTTTTTTTTTTTTACTATCCTAGTTGCTTACTGTCTAGTACCTACGTCAACATTGCCCCCCACCTTTTTGCCTGTCCATGAAAGCATCTAGTTTCTTCTTAAAGATAGTCACAGAAGGGGCAGCCACTACTTCGTCATCTAACGCATTCCACGCGTTCACCACTCTGCAAGTAAAGAATTCCTGTCTCGACCTGAGCCGCACCTGCGGTTTGCGCAACTTAAGTCGGTTACCTCTCGTTCTCTTGCTGTCATCAAACTGGAAAAACCTACCACACTCGACATTATCTATTCCTTTAATTATCTTGAAAGCCTGGATGAGATCGCCCCTCCTTAACCTTCGTTCGAGCGAGTACAGTCTCAGCACTTCTAAACGCTTCTCGTATGATAGTCCCCTAACCTCCTTAATCATTCTTGTGGCCCTCCTCTGTACTCCCTCGAGCGCCAACAGATCGCCCTTATTTGTAGGCCTCCAAAACTGGATGCAATATTCCAGCTGGGGTCTTATCAGCGCCGCATACAACGGAAGAATAACGCGAGATGTCCTACTTGCAACCGACCGACGAATGTAACCTAGAATCCTATTGCATTTGGCCACCGTCGCTTGCGCGTGCGAGGAAAACTTGAGGTCCTCATCGATAGAAACACCTAAATCTCTCTCTCCGTTTGCCTCATCCAATTTAACATCGCCGAACGTGTCGAGAGACCTACCGTTGTTTCGACCGACGTGGAGAACTTTACACTTACTTTTATTAAACCTCATGAGCCATTTCTTGCTCCACTCGTCCAAAAGCCTTAAATCTCGCTCGGCTCTAGCCCTATCCGCCTCCCCCCTTATGGTAAAACCTATCTTGGTGTCGTCGGCAAATTTACTTATCTTACCCTCTACGCCGAGATCCAAATCGTTTATGTAGACCAAAAACAGAAGCGGTCCAAGGACCGAGCCTTGAGGGACACCGCTTGCGACTCCGACCTCCTCCGACGCTTCCCCATTTATCATCACCCGTTGCTCTCGTCCTGCCAACCAGCTACTGATCCACTCACTCGTCCTACCCTGGATCCCGTGCGCCTCCAGTTTAACCCGCAACCTCTTGTGAGGAACGGTATCGAAAGCTTTCGCGAAATCTAAATAGACGATGTCCACGGGATTCCCTTTATCCCTCTCTTCCGTCGCCCAGTCGTAGAATTCGAGCAAATTGGTGAGACAATTTCGACGCCTCCTAAAGCCGTGTTGAGAGTCCCGAATGAGCGCGTTTCCTTCGAGGAAATCCAAGAGATGGTCCCTTAGTATGCTCTCCATGATCTTCCCTGGGATACTCGTGAGACTTACCGGCCTGTAATTTCCTGGATTACTCTTTTCGCCCTTCTTAAAGATCGGTACGACGTTTGCGCGTCTCCAGTCCTTAGGTACTTCCCCGCGCGAGAAGCTGCTATCGAATATAATTCTTAGCGGAACCGATATTTCTCTCGCGGTTTCCTTAATGACTCTCGCAGGAATCCCATCGGGGCCGGTCGCCTTGCCCACCTTCAGCTTCCCTATCATATTCTCGATCATCTCCTCGGTGATGGAAATATCCTCGATGCGAGCGGAGGTCACCTCCTCCAAAGTCGGTGCCGAGTCGGATTCGACAGTGAAAACGGACGCGAAGAACTCGTTAAGTATACTGGCCATATCCTTATCGCTTGCAATCAACTCCCTCTTTTCATTCATTAGCGGCCCGATCGACTGTTGACACCTACCACTAGCATACTGATAAAAAGCCTTAGGGTTCTTCTTAGCATCGCTAGCCAGCCGTTCCTCGACCTCCCGTCTCGCAGATCTAATTTCCCGCTTCAACTTCCGCGTGATCCTCCTATATTCCTCATAGTCCGTGCTATCTCCCGTCCGCTTGTACGCATCCCATTTCCGCTTTTTATCCCTGATGAGAGCTTTGATTTTACCCGTAAACCAGACCGGTTGCCTGCCCGATTTTATGGATTTCTTGGGGATGCATTCCTCCATAAAACCCTGCAATAACGTCTTGAACGCCCCCCATTGCTCCTCTACCGTCAGCCCCCAGAGCCGCGCCTCCCAGTCGATGCCTGAAACGCATTCACGTAGTCTCTCGAAATTAGCCTTCTTATATTTGTACGAAACCTTCCTCGGTTTGGCCTTACTCTTCGTCCGCTTGATATTCCACGTGATCGCGCAGTGGGCCGAATATCTCCCAAGTTATCCTGTACTTTAACGTCTCGTGCCAGATCGTCGTTCGTCGCAAAAACGAAATCCAATAAAGCTTCCTCGCGAGTCGGCTCATTTACGTACTGAAGGAGAAGAGCGTCCTGAACCGCAACGAGAATTTGTCATACCAGTATTTGTCATAAAGGGGTTTAGAGCTACCCATAAGTTTCAGGAACACTTCTGATCTCAACAACCATGTGGACCTTGCTTTGCTTTTCATTAGATAACTATCCTCTCAGAGCCATCTTCCACAAACTTGTACAGGAAAACTTCATTAATTCGATATTGGATAGTTCGAAGTATCAGGTACTTCGAAGTCATTACATTCCCCGTCCGAGTGGATAGCAATTTGTATGCTTTATAGTATGGATAATTTGAAATACGGATACTATGAAATTTGAAGGCATTTTATAGTCCCATGAGCTATTAACTCAGAAACATGTTTGTTTACTTCGAATTGCATTTTTACGTTCTTTTGCATTTGATTGAACCCTATTTCGTCAGGGAATGGTTTAGTAGGCGGCTGAACTGAATTGCGAATCGCATATCCTCGACTCTAACTACTATTGAAAAAAAGAACCCACAATCGTTCAGTTTTTGTTATATATTAAGGCAACCTGGAAAGGCGTATTAGGCTTATGGGCATTTCAGCGGGGGAGTAGGACTCTCCTCCACACTAGAACTACCGGAGGAGTCATTTTGACTGCTCGCCGATTTTTAATGCGCTTTATCCTGCTCGTTTGGTACATAAGGGACTCCGCCGTTTTAGCTTTTCCTATCTAATATCGGCATTTTGAACATACGAAATAAAATCTGGAAAAAACCAAGCAAAATGTCATAGGATAATAGTTTTATACTACTTTTAATACAGATGTAAAATTGACCGCTCCGGTAGTTCTAGTGGTAAGAGGGAGATTTTTTTCTTACTGATGTAAGAGGCAGGGCGAACCAGTGGCGCCAAATTTGATTCAAACCCCCTCAAATCTGGTCTAAATGCATCCGCCACCCCCGCCTCCCCGCCAAGGAGAAGTACGGGAAATTCTAGCCCTCCATTGGCGAGGGGAGCCGCTAGTCAATTTCATGAGCTCCTAAGGGGGCAGCTGCCTCCCCCCCGATATGTCACAGGAGGTAGTGAACGCGTCGAATGTATCAAATTACGATGTAATGGTTGCCCCTTTCGTGGCCAGCTGCAAAAAAAGGTTGGTTGCTTTCAAGAAAAGCAAAACAGATCAAGATAGCTCTATCTCGGCTGGTATGTTTTACCAAAGGTATCTGCCTTTAAGAGAGCGGAACACTAGATCTTGGCAAGGTGTGTCATAATGGGCAAAAATACTTATTCACATTCAAACTCAAACTTCAAACTTGAACCTTGAATATGCTGACAGCATTATGAATGCTGTGGAACCGAGTTTCCCATTCCACCCGCACTGCTGCGGTGTGCGTCCAGACATGGCGCTCTCCGTCAAGGAGCTTGGAACGCTTCTGGGGTAGGCCTAATTCCTTTGCTCCTTACTATATTCTGCCTTTATTTTTCTTTCGATTTGTCGTAGGATTACCATTCGAAGCATGAGGTATGCCTGGTTGCTTACAGTGATTGCAAGGTGAATTCACGTACCATTGTGAGATTTTGTTAACTGTGGGTCTATCAATGTCAGTGAAACTTTGGTTTCCCTGGGCTCCAGTTTAAAATCTCAATTGGAATATTCTAGTTCCACAAATTCAGACCTTTTTCTATTTGACAAAGAGCTGGGGAATGCCAGATTACTGGCTGTTTTAAAGCTGGAGTTTATTAACTGGATTGCAATTGATTTCAATAGCTGTTTCCAGCTGGAAATTTCCAGTTAAAATTTCATGCAGATCAAACTCCAGCTGGGATACACTGAATTAATGGTGGAAATTCAGCTTCTTTCTTAGATTGACCTACAGCAAGAATAGCCAAAAACACCAATCTCAATCTAAGGATATTGTAGCTTGGAACCAATCTGGATGTGACTTACATTCCAAATGTTCAGAATCCTAGCAGGAATGGGTCTGAATTAGCTACTGGGATTTGTTAAAATTTAAATTGTGTCCCACATATGGCATGAATTGATGTTCTGTAATGTTTGATGTCCCCTGAAATGAAGCATAATTAATGCTAATACTCATATTAGGATATGAACTCATCTGAAATCACTGGACCATTGGACACTGATCAAAGCATAAAGAAGTATCAGTGGTGTTGGCTTAGGTCTAAGTCAGAGTGGGTTTGCTCATGTATGCTATATATGTAATATCATTTCCAATCATGAACTATTTCATAAGAGGGTTTCTGCAACATTAATGTTTTTATATGAGTGTGCCAAAAAGTGCATGTTCTACCTTTCATGACTTTTGTGGGGGTACTTTTAGATTTTCCAAGTTAGATGTGGTAGTGAGAAAGTCAAATGCAGCAAGGAAATTCAAATGTGTTGCTGTGCTGGATGGGAGCATCAGAAGCAACAAGAGAAAAATCAAATTCATCACTTTACTGGATGTTGGACTTAAGAGATAGGAATTTTAGATATGAGGAAAGTCAAATGCAGCAGCTGTATCTTGGGCCTGTACAAGGCAACTAACAGTGTTGCATTTCCACTACACACATCTCCAAATATATTTGCTTGTGGCAATGATAATGGGCCATATATAAATGCATTCACAGATGAATCTATTGCCAGCCATTGATGCATCAGGTTGATCTTAGGAATGAATTACTGTAAAAAATTTGGGGAGGGGGGCCAGATTTGAGTGCCATTGACAACAGTGCCAGGTTGTTGGGTGGGAAATGTCAATGTGAAAACATGTAAACCTGTCCAAAGAGTGAGTTCATACTTAGCTTCCCTATGTGAAAGTTGCTTGAAGGACAGTAATCAAATGTCTTTGCACAGATTCATGAAAATAGAGAACACTCCTAAACCTCTCATGGAAGTACTCTTGCAAATGGTGATAATCTATGAGTATGATCTAGCATGCAAGTATACTTGCACATGTAAGCCTACCCTAAGTTCTTAGTGAGTCTTGATCAGAGACCACAAATGGATTTGGTAATAATACATACTGTCATAGGCTAACACATGTTAGGCCAAGAGCTTAAATATTTGCTTGGGCATAAAATGTTATTTAAGGGAACATTAAATCAGAAGAGGAAGACCAGGAAGAAACAAAGGGTGAAGAAAAAAAAGTTTTCATTTCCAATGTACTTTACAAAAGGCTGTTATACTGTGAAATGCTGGTGAAAGTTGCAGGTATAACTAGAGGTGAACTAGGCCTTGGCCTAGTTCATTTCCCTTCACCCAGTTGGAAGCTTCATGCAGGGCTAGCCTAAATAGGCTTAGGGTAACATTACACTGTTTTCGGATTGAATTGGTAACCCCCCCCCCCCCCCACCCCCCCCCTAGGAGCGCTTCCATCAAGTACAGGCAGGACACCTCATGGGAGGAAGGTGAAGTATTAGCAGAACCATCCAACAACCATGTGGAGCATCAGGCTTGACATCTTGAGGATCGTCTGGAAAGCTTGTGTTTTCTCCGTTCTCTACAGTAAGGGGGGTACCAATTCAATCCGAAAACAGTGTACATTGTTCATTGCAAGCCTCTAAGATCAGCCCAAGGTGTAGAATAGAGCAACTTGTGATAATTCAATCCTGTCATTAGGTTTTAGGCCTGATATCAAATATTTAATTTTAAAATTTTGAGATTGAGTATATCAAATGTGGTTTTTATGTTTAATTGCTACCAGCTCTACCATCAGTCTCATTTATTTAAGTCTATGGCAAAGCCTAAACCTACTTTAGATGACCATGAGACCTTGCCATGATGGCCTCTTTTTTTTTTTCAGTATCCTTAGTGATGATTATACTGAAACTCAGTCATTGGAGGCATTATGTAGTCAGCTTCATCACTTTTTCTCCAAGCAGGATTTCTTCAAAGGTAAGAATTTCATGTAATTCTATGCATGTCTGAACATAGAAGCTCAGCTTTTGAAATTGGATCCTCATTTATTTCACATTGGTACTCAGAGTTCAGCCTAGTCTTGCACAGGTTGTATATCAAGCATAGAATGGGACAATGTTTTCCTGGAAGCCAAGGTGTCCTCATTATGAATGAATCTTTGAATTCATAAGTATTGTATCCACATCTTGAATTAGAAAAATATTGTTTGGGCTTCAAGTTGGATTCTTTTATTGCATTTGATTATGAATGAGGAGAACATTCTTCAGTGCCTATGAAGGGTTCTTGCAAGAAAGTAATGCTGTAGGAAAATTAAGCATCCATGATGCTGTGCAATTTTGTTTGGTGATTCAATGGTGTTTTAATAAATTTAGATAAATAAAGATTGATCCTGAACCATAAGAGGAACAAGTCAATACTTGTGCTTGTGTGTAATTATTGAGGATCAGGTCCCAAGAATACACTTTGGTGAAAAGGTTACATGGGGTTCTATGCAACATATATCAATTTCTAATAATCATGCATTTTTCTTGTCATATGAAGTAGCTCTTGCCAGAAGCCTCCTGAAAAATTGTAGGAAGAAAGTGTAGTATCAATCATTCCCAATAGATATATTTTAATATATTTTTTGAGTACTTTACAAATTCACATTCTCCCATTGCAGTTGGATGTGCCATAGTACTCCTTTTACAAAATCCAGACCTCCTTTCAAATGCAAGCCAAAGACTAGCAGCAGTGACTGTTTTGCATCAGATGTACAAAGGGGAACCCATGTCTGCATGCCCATTTGCTGGTGTCTTTGTTCACCTTCTGGTGAGTGAATAGTTCTTAGTGACTTTTCAGTCCCATTGAACTCAGCTCAGCATAGACAGAAGATTTTCCCTCTTGATAGGGTGGGGATGCACTCAACTTCAACCCATTGTTTGTGTATTATCAAATTGTCCAGTGCTTCAGCTCATTCAGTAGATCTCATCTACCTCATTGTCTTATCTCCTTTAAGCCTAGAATTAAATATAATGTGTGATTGTAAAAGTTTCAGGTATTGAATTATCATTGTACCTGATAACTATTATTGACCAATATTGGTCATTATACCTGTTTTTGAAACCAATTAAATACCCTTGCAACCCATATTATTAGCAAATTTAAGTGTACTGTCTTCATTTGTATTCCAGAACCCGCCTGATGAGACTGTGAAAGGGACATTAAAGAAACTTGAATATGCAGGACAGTTGCCTCGCTTGAGTCAACAAGAAAAAAATTTCCTCTCCTTACTGTTGACATCAAATCAGAAAGATGTACCAGTAAGTTCTAATTGTATTTCCATTGATCCAATTAGTTCAGAAGATATTTTTGGATTCATTTATCTACATAACTTGGATACACTTAGTTGTGTGTTGCATTGAAATGTTCCAATGGCATTAGACCTACACATTCCTTTGGAAAATGTCAATCAATCCAAATTATTTGTGAATGCTTTTAAAAGCATATGGTTTGCAAATTTTTGCATTGCTATTCATGGTCATAGCTCCTGAAGAAAACAGCTCGTCAAATCATTGGCATGGAGCCTGCAGCTGTCCCTGCAGCAGATGTGACAGGATTGCAGTTGGGATTGGCAGAGAGACAATCTCAACTTCCCCATGCATGCAAAGCAGGCATTCCTGTCATCCTCTCAGATCCTGACATTAAACAAGGGACAAATATGTGAGGCTTATACTTTTTAATGGTGCTTATCTTGTTATTTGAAGGATTATGATTTTAATACAATCTGTGTTATCTTGCAGATCCTCCACTGATGCAGGTGTGACCAAGAAGACTGCTGAAGCCCTCCTGACTGGATCTACTCCACTTGTTAATCAGTGTTATGTACCAGAATTCATCAGCCTTGTCCCACCTATTTTTCACTGTGAAGATGAAGTAAGCACCATCATACCTAATTTTGTGGCATGCTGGTTGAAAACCAGGCTTACCAACTGTTGGTTCAACCCAGGTTGAGCCTACATTTTTTAAGTCTGGATTCTGTGTGCCCAAGAACAAGCTTTTTCTAGGAGGAGAATGTATCTATGGATGTATGAGTCACCATTTAACACCACTGTAGATGCATGTGCCAATCCTGTTTAGAGTGGTTAGGAGATTCAAAGAATGAAGGTGGAGTGCAGAAGAGAATAAATGGGAGATAAGACCTTATCTGAAAGAGGTTGAGAGACCAAGTGGAATCGAGAGAGGAAACTAGTCAGCCTGAGGTAGCATATTACTGGAAATCCAGGGATCTGTACAAGTTTGGCACTTCTTATGAAGTTATATAGTTCCTCATCAGATGGACCTGAATAAGAATATCTGCAAGTTGTGACAATTTTCCAAGGACAGGTCTTGGGGAGATTGGTCCAGCCTTCAGAGATTCTGCAAAGGAGTTGCAAAAGGTTTCAGTTACAAAAGCACCTGAAGATCAACTATATCATGAAATAATGTCATAGGGAATTATGCTGCTGGTTGGGTGTGGGAGTCTATTGATGATAAATTTTTGAGTTAAACATTTATAAGAAAGAAAAGCAAAGCAGGTGAATGGACTTGCATGTCTGTGGAGATACTTTCCATGCCACAGACAAGGATTTTAAATTTACTCCAGGACATGGAGGTGGACACAAGTTGGCCATCTGCCAGGAGTCAGAATGTAGGACTCTCTCCTTCCTAGACAGACATTCATCCCATTGTCATGCTGAGATCTTGTCCATCTATTGACTGTTACTGTTTATAGATGGGTACCTCTGGTGACCTTGATGTCAATGTGGAATTTCACATCCCAAGGCATGAGATCATTTATTAATTATCATCCAGAAGTGTGATGATGATTGAAGATATTTTTTTTTTTATGGCTGAAGGAATTTTTGATGACAGTGAGAGAGAGAGTACAGAGAGTACGTACATTTTGAGAGATCTACCAACAAATTGAATCACCTTGTTCAAAAGACATTATATTACAAGGCCAAGTGGATGGGTAGTACTGAAGTCTTTGTTTCACTATGGTTTCCTTGTCTCCATTTGTGTAAAATGCAGAATTAAGTGCCCTACTATCTTGTATAAAGGTTTTGGCCATGGCCATGGAGGTACCATTACAGCCAGGTACATATCTGGCTCAATAATAACAAGGTTAAGATAAATCTTCCAAATCCCAAAAGTTCTTTGAACTGCCATTCTACTATGTCAGTGCCATGGGCATGAGTGAACCACTATTCTGCAAAAGTGTTATGGATTAGGACTTACTTTTGATGGGTACCTCATTCTAAAGCAGCACACTTGGTGACACTTTTGAAAACTCCAATCATCATGCTCAACATAAGCTCATCATTAGCTGAACAGGACCAACTTGTGACCTGGTCTGTGAGAATGAGTTCACTGTTACAACCATGTAGATGTTGTTCAAGGGTTCAACCCTTCAAGTTTCAGATTTATTCGGGGTTTTTCACTATATGCTGTTGAATTTGAATGCAGATATTGCTGTCACTCTAATGGATGTTACTCTCATTGCAAAATATCCTTTATGCATCTTGGTTGTTTTTTTTTGCAGTTTGGAAGATCATGGATGTCTTGTATCACTGTTGAGACTCTTGAAATCTAAGCAGCCAATTGTAAAATGATGCTTTGGGTTACACCAGACAGTCTTCAGCCTTGATTTGAAAGTTTCTATTAAAATAAAAGTGCTGTGTAGCAAATTAGTAACTTTTCAGAGTGGGCAAACCCTGCTTGCTAGATTGTTTTCTGTGCTCCTCAAAGTTCTGCAGAAGCTGTCATCTTTCATCTAAAAAGTTGGAATTATGCCTAATGGGAGACACCTTTTCTGCAGAGTGCCAGTAGGCCATGCCTTGAGGAAGGGATGCCCTCCCCTCCCAGAGATGGCCACATTACAGCTCACAGGCAGTTCAAGCATGACTCACAGTAAAATGCTGCATGAAGAGGGTTGGGTTGTAAAATTGGAGTGTTAACACCAGAGAATGCATGTGTAAAGTGTTATGTCATGTGGCTCTCTGCCATATGAAGATTTTGTTATGCAGCTCATGAGGTCAGGAACTTTGGCCACCCCTGCCATATCCCATCACTTGTCTTACATCCATGTGATAGGAAAGGAATTACAGTACAGTCAACTCTGTATAATAGAATAACATTTAATGGAATGGACACTTAAAGGAATTAACTTTCCTGAAACTTGGAATACTTTTTTTCAGTTCACTGTGAAACAAAATGCTTATTTTTCCCATTTGTATTTTTGGAAAGTCTCCTCCAGTCCCACCCTCCTGCTTTGTAGAACCAAGGTCACAAGTTCCCACTTGACTTCTGTGAACTGAGGGCAGGGGCAGGAGAGAAGGCAAGACCACCCTTTCCTAGAAATTGGGGTGTAAGTATAGGCTGCAGATGCTGAAAAGAGGCAAATAAGCCTGCCTTTTTTAGGCGAAAGTGCAAGAAAGTTTATCTGAACTATAAATTGAGCCTATAGGCATCAGTTCTACACATTCCTAGTTGACCATACAGAAGAGGAAAGACCTCGGCTTGTCTGAAAAGATTGCAGTTCTGAATCCCAATCAGGACAAAAAGATGCAAGCTGAACTGGCTCGGTAGTTTGGGATCTCTCAGCTGCAAGTTTCAAAGATCATCAGAAACAAGTTAGCAAAATATTGTAATGTGCAAAACACATTCTTAAAAGTGGCAAATGTGCAAATACATGCACTATACTTCAGGATATACATTTTAAAAGCTGCCTGAAGTACGAAGAAGTACAGTAATATTGTTTCAGTTATTGGAATACTCCAGATTATAGAATAAAGTTCACTGGTTCCATGAGTATTCCATTAAGTGGAGTAGACTGTATATCAATCTATACTGAGACAAGTCCTGCAGCCCTACCTGAGAGCAAGGGCTGAACAAGTGTGAGATAAATTTTACATACTTCTCCCTCTTCTTCCAATACAGTTGTTATGGATGAACCCGAGTGATCCTCAGTTCCACAAGCCCATGTATGATACAAGTTTATGTGCATCTGAACTTGGAGGTATAGAGGCAAGGAGATTGATGAGTAAAGCTTTTGAAGAAGCTCTCACTCTTCAGCAACAGCAACATCTACTTGCTCAATTGGAAAAGGATCCAAAGCTTGTTTATCATGTTGGTCTTACTCCAAATAAGGTAAGCATGGCCATAATGCATCAAGAATTCTTCAGTCAAAATGGATGTTTTCATTAAGTGACTGAGATTATTCCTGCAGTTACCAGACTTGGTTGAAAACAATCCACTGGTGGCTATTGAGGTTCTTCTCAAGCTCATGCAGTCAAGTCAGATCACTGAATACTTCTCTGTGCTTGTCAACATGGAGATGTCATTGCATTCAATGGAAGTTGTGAACAGGTTTGGTGGATTCTGTCTCATTCATATTGTCATCAGTCACAACCAGTTCTTCAAGCTAAAATTTCAAATCATATAGCCAAAAGGGATAGGTGAAGGAAAGGGAGGCATTTCATCCTTTGCATTTCTGGGTGGGGGGCAAGGAGGTTCTTTTATCTCCACTTTTTCTATAGTTGTATGTATATCTTTCACTTGTCAACATCGCAAGCAGATTATTGGGGTTTAAGTATGACAGTGAACTGGACAGATGAAAATGTCAGCTGCAAGTCCAAAAGGAAAATAGGCAACAATCCATGCAGGTTGGAGGTGTGTTTTCTCCAGTTTGTATGCTAAGCATCCCCTTCCCACCCAGTCAGCATTCTCTTCCTAGTTGCTTTTGGCCATCCTCCCCCCCTGCCCCCACCCCCCCTCCTCACCTTAAAAATCATATACTAGGTGGCCCAAAAAAAAAGTGTCCTGATAATCTAAGTTCATGGTGTTTTCATAGCACGTTGAAAACATCAGAAAATTTGTTTTCTGAAAGTTTCATGTATATAGTTTGTCTCAATAAAAATCAACAGTTGTTCAAAGTGGAGTAAAAAATTTACTGTTTCCGTGCATGAGGTGGATGGATTTTCTGCACTACTCTAATGATTTCTTTCCCTTGACACCATGAATGACTATTTTTATGCCATTTCTCAATGTAGTATTCTGCTTAGTAATGATTCTGATGTACTACATTAGTAGTATTCTTCAACATGCTGAATACTGTGATAAAGTCATTGCATAAGTACCTAGTCTCTATGGCATCAAGTGAGAGAAATCATTCAAGCAGTGCTGAAACTCCATTCACCTCATGCACAGAAGAGGTAAATTTTTTACTCCACTTTGGATGACTGTTGATTGTTATTCAGGCAACCTTGGCACATAAAACTTTCAGAAAACAAATTTTGTGATGTTTCTAACATGTTATGAAAACACCACAAACCTAGACCATCCACAGCAGGTTTTATATAGCGCCAAACATGACACTTTTTGAGGGGGGCCACATAGTATAAGCCTTTGTAAATGCAACGACCTGGGAAGGCAGGGTGTAAAACTTTTAATTTTGCTTACTTGCCAATAGATGACTGAAACATTTTTATTTATTCATCCATAAACATGTTCAGAAAATTTGAAAGTTTCTAGCAGATTGTGCATCTGGTATGGAATCCCTGTTACTTTCTGTTATTAGCACCTGGTTATATATGGACAAGTAGGTTTTATATGGGCTCGTGTCATTCCTATCCCCTCGTCCATCATAGGCAATTTATATTTTCACTCCTGTTGCTAAAATGCAGCACAAATAAAATAACTCTTTCTCTCCTAGGCTGACCACAGCAGTTGACTTGCCGACGGAATTCCTCCATCTTTACATCTCCAACTGCATTTCTACATGTGAGAATATTAAAGATAGATATATGCAGAATCGCCTGGTTCGCTTAGTGTGTGTCTTCCTCCAGTCTCTTATCAGAAACAAGATAATAAATGTTCAGGTGAGCTCAAGTAGCCATGTATTGTATACTGTTGGAACCATTTTGTTTGACTAGCACCAAAAAGTCATGTCCAGAGTATTTATACTGATTTTTTAATTTTACAGGAACTTTTCATAGAAGTTCAAGCCTTCTGCATTGAGTTCAGTCGCATACGAGAGGCTGCAGCCCTTTTCCGACTTTTGAAGCAATTAGATAGTGGGGAGCAACCTGCAGCTCCAACGTCCAAGTGAGCTTGGAAGTATGTGTCTTTCACTTGTGGCTGTGATATATGACCTCTCGTTCAAAAAGTAGATGAACTGTATTTTTGTTCTCCCAATTCACTTATTCCTAGATATGAAATGATTTGGTTTGTTACTTCATAAACTATTTCTTCAAATTCTGTTAATTTATGTATCATTCTCATTGATAAATAGTGTGTTCCTGATGACAGTGCTGAATTGTGAAATAAAAGTACAGTATGTATTTATTGTATAATTGTGTTGTCAGTTGTATTCATACTCATCTTTGATCTCACTCTGGACTACAATTTGACAGCTTTACTTTTCTGAGTAGGAGCCTATGTTAAGTCATCTTGAACAGAATAGGGTAATACCACCTAAGTTCGGACACTGTACCAAACATTGTTTTAAAAAAATTAGGCATTCACGAGGCCGCTTTCAGAAATGGTTCTTCCAACCACGAGATTAACACTTTACTGAGTGAAGGACAAGCGGTGATGATGAAGACTTTGCACGATTCCAAGATATTGGACTTGGGCCTTTGTGATATCGCAAACGGGGGGATTGGGGGTGTCCTACGAGAAACCGTAAGGAGAGAACCTCCTTTTTAAAACGTTTCACTACTGACGTTTTCTGCGCTCAAATCTTACCAGTAAACTGAGAGAACAAGGAGTCCCATTAAGCAGAATGCACGTGCCTTGATCAGATTACTGTCTGACTTTCGATGCGTCCAAACTTAGGTAAGGAAATGTTTGAGAAACATATGTACGGACATTCATCCATGCGTGTCATATGCGCCCGATTCAGCGTAGGAAAATATTAAAATATATGGCTTCTCCCAAAATTACCCCTAGAAGATAAATCCCGCAAGTAGGATTTTCCCTTATGACTGCATACCAGCAGGTACCTATTTATCAAGGTTTCAGCCTTGTCTCCATGATTCGCAGGAGCGAAAAAATTTTTTTTTTGGAAAGGTCCACCCTAAAATGTGCCCCCAGGCAACACATCCCAGAAGCAGTTTTTTTTTGCCTGGAGTCTGCTTCTCAATAAATACCGATGCCCCTAGTTTCAGTTTCTATGTCTCCGTTTTGTCAGCGCAAAAAAAATTATGAAGATGCACCTCTCCAAAAAAAACTACCTGAAATGTGCATTATTAGAACTTTTCGAGTACCAAGTTTGATCTCATCTAGAACACAGAATGGAAGTCAGTCGCTCACTCACTCACTCAAAATCTTCATTTACTAGAATATCGAGAAAAGGTCCAATACTGTGAGAGCGGGTTATCATTCCTTTGCATCACAATCAAGTGTTTCAAGCCTCATTGAGACTTGTGGTGGCCAAAATGGATTATTTTCACCTTTGATTCCAGCCATTTCGAGCAGTTCCTTGTACAAGCTGTCCTACATGAAAGCGTGATCTCTAATACCGTCTATCTTGATCTACTTGGATTCCAGTAAATCCAGAATCTTTGAGATCAACACCTAGGCCCCACATGAAATTTTATTGGAAAGATCTCTCCAAAATTCATGTATTGTATAGTTGTCCACCATCAACCAGGTATCATGATCATCAAATGAGAGCAACCAATTGAACATAATGCACAAAATGACACCATAAGACCAGGTATCTGCATGAAATGGAATGCTTGATTGTCCCGGAAGAATCAAAGGATATGCATGGGCGAAGAATATGTTGTGCCTCTTTCAGAAAGAAATTTCTGAAATTTTTTGGTAAAACCATTGGTCCCCCCCATTTTCCAAGAAAAAGAGCCAAAAAAAAAGAAGGAAAAGACACAAAAATGCATGATAACAGTATCCCAGAGTTCCCGTGTCCCTCACCCTGTCCTGTGCCCCACTTGTTCCATCCACATTACGCTTATGTTTCCCTCTTTGATAATCTGAGGAAGGAGGAGCCAAGGTAGAATGTACAGGGTAAGACAGAAAAAAGGTAACTGAAACCGCAATTCAGTAATCAGAACATTATTTATTATACAGTATATTACACACTACGGCACATTGTAGGCTCAATTATCATAATATTCACCATGGTGCACAATCACGTGTTCAATATGCTCACCACCACGCTGAATGAAGATTTCCACGCATTGGATCATACAGATGTACCAGGCATCATGGTGTTGTACAGGGTGTCTCAAAATTTCGGACCCAGGAAGATTTCACTACTTACCTTTATTTCATTGAATGTTGAAATTGCATGCCATGAAGTTGCATGCTCATATCAATTCTGTCACGTAACCCCCTCTGAATACTGCTTAGTACCTCAATACTTATTTTGACCCATCTCCCTACTAATTTTTGGCGATTCCAAATGTTCTCCTTCAGCTTGTCAATATTGCGCGGTCGTGAGTTATAATCCACTGAATTCAGATGTCCCAAAAAAGAAAAAGTCCGACGGGGTAAGATCCGGACCTTTTCTCATTTTTAGCCACCCATTTTCTTCAATTATCTGAAATTGAAAGAAAGTTTTAATTAACCCCAAATACCTATGAGTCCGGACTTTTGAGACACCGAGAGTATAAGCCTGCCTGTACCAGCCAATGCCTTGGGATAGGCATTCCTTGTCCCGTGGCTGGCCTTAAATCTTCATGCCTTGTATTTCTTTCGTCTTCTTTTTTCTTTTCCTGTTTATTGGCATATCATCGTTCTCATATTTTATTTGATTCAAATTCAGTAGGTTCCGTTCATTCTCTTTAACCTTTAATTTTTAAACTTTGTTTTCTTTTGGAATCTAATGTGTAACTATTATTCTTAATGTGTTATTTGTGTTTTTATAATCTTTTAGGTCTAAGTTTTCTATTCAGAGAGGTCCATCTCCCTTTGGCTATGAACCTGGTGTCGATTTTCTGTGCCTTTGTCTTCTGTTATCCAAGTGATTTTTTTTTTTGCGCAGAAAATATAACTATTGAATATTTATCACCATTCTCATGGGCGACAAAGAGAGCGTAATATTTTATCTGATATTCAATATTATTCGTAACAATCTCCAAAGGAGGACAGCCAAATCGTATGGGATTTTTCCTAATTGCATCCCACGACGAAACCGGTGCCTAGAGCACCTCAAGTAGTGCATACGCGTCAATGGTCACACCGTGATCCGAGGTTGTCCTGATCTGCTAAGTTGCGGCACCAAAGCTCTGTTAAATACCATGTCAGCGTTTTAGAAGACCGAGACCATTGCCAGATATTGTTGTCAGTGCAAAAATGATCTCAAAACTGTTGAGTGCTGTGCGCACGTTATGGCAGTGCTGTGGTAAATCGGATATGGCAGGTACTTATCCGAAATTCCAATACCCGCCGCATCACTGACGATGTTTGTGGTACTGGATAGCACTGATGACGAAAACAGCATGATTTTATTGTATTTATACACGAATATTATTATGCAGTATTATGCACCAGATTGATACAGATTTTTCCTTATTTGTTCATTAATTTATTCGATTTTATAATCATTTATCTTATGTTCAGGTTTTTCTTTTTGTCTTAGTTATTGGCTTTCTCTTCTTTACAAAGCTGGCTTTGACATATTTCCGAAAATGTGGTTGGTTATACCGTTGAAAGAGTCGTTATTCAATTATACGGGTCCGATTTAGTAGGTTCAGACACCTTATATGTCGAAATCGGCCAACTTATATTGAGTTATATTGAGCATACCTGAGTTTTTCGCCTCGGCTGTATCGCAACTGGAGGGGCCACATCTTAACGACCTGGGATTAGCCGAGCTTATCGTCTCGAGGGGGAGGGGGAGGTCGGGGAGTTAATAATCCTGTCTTCGGACTTTCGGATAGAGTCCTATATCTGAAACTGATATGACATTCTTAAATGGAGTTGCGAAGTCTCCTGTTAGTTTAGTTTAGTTTGGTTTAGTTTAGTTTGGTTTAGTTTAGTTTGGTTTAGTTTAGTTTGGTTTAGTTTGGTTTGGTTTGGTTTAGTTTGGTTTAGTTTAGTTTGGTTTAGTTTGGTTTAGTTTAGACTTTAAAGTTGGTTCGTTTCGGCTTGTTTATTTTGTTTTGATTCATAATATCCTAACAATGAAGTGAACCCTTTCTGGGCGTGGGGGGGGGGGGCACCTCGACTGAGCCCCTTGCGAGCCGGCAGGAATTAGCGCCGAGCCTTATCTCTGTGGCCCCTCCAGTTGCGGAACAGCCTTCGGTGGGCTTCTTACAGAACTTGCTTTCTAAGATCAACATCCTGTCTCAGAATGGAGGAGAGACGAAAAATGCAGAAAGAAGACAAAGGAGTTCGTGGAACGAAGTCATCGCTGTTGGGTTCAATCAGCCACTCGCGGTGAAATTCAAGTTCTTCCTCGAGATGTCACCCTCGATTTCGAGTCTCCTTTCTCTTCTGTGTTCTTCGGGCGGAAGCTTTTCTTCCCGCTTTTTTTTAGTTCTTCCATCTCTTTCCTAGGGCGAGCATTCATATTTTATGTCCTATGGATTCCACACGGCATATATTTGCATGCTCCTGTCGCTGGAGATGGGGTGCTGTACACGTTGAGTGCAACGTGAGCGGAAAAAAACATCTATCTATAGAAAGGAGAAGAGTCCATAGAGACCAGTGGAGAACTGCCTGAAGATGTCAGGAGTATGCAGGCTTTAAGGCTGAAGTACGCTGCGTCGTGCGTCTGTACGTGGTTCCTGGTGCCTGTTCGTGTTCGTGCCGAACAGTAGGCGTGAAGATTGTGGATCAGTAGGCATGGAAATATTTGCCATGTCGACATAGAGGACTCACGCCTACACGATGAGAGCGATGGGCGTCGAGAACATGTCCGGAGGGTTCCCACAAGCATTCACTAATCTCCTTTAGAAAGTTTCCTGATACTCCGACCGTAAAAAATCCTGCGTCTAAAAACTTCCATGGACAATCATTAAATGGATAGCATGCCGTTTCAGATCGATGTAGACCTAGAGATGGCCAGCGGCTTTTATGCAGAGTTCACCTTCGTCTAAACAGAGGATGATAGGACGAGACTTACCTAAAGTGTGTCTATGTCGATCGTCTTCGTGCCATGACTGCTCGAAGCAAGAGAATGAAAGCATCACGCGATTCATACCGAGATTCAGCCCAAAATAGACAAGACTCC